TTTGAGTGACTCTTGAATGACCAGCACCACATCCTCTTGTACCACTGTTTGAAGAATTGATCTTCCAGAATCGGGCAGTAAGTTTTAGGAGCTAATTTTTGTCAGTCTCTGTAAGACTTTTTATAACTGAGATGGACTAAAAATGAACTCAATTCTTTCAAATTTAAATCTTGTACAAGAACTACAGCAAAAATCAGTTTGATGCATATTTTATCAATATTTTAGAAATTTAATTTGAATATTACCAGTACTGACTTCAATGGTTTTCATTAAATTCCTTTGAACACAACTGCTTGATATAAAATAAATGGTGCTTGAAAAAGTCCTTGAAAGTCCTTGAATCTGGTGTTCATGAAAGAGTGGGAACCCTGTCTGTGGGTGTTCGTAACCTTTCTTCTGCTGTGCGTTTTGATAAACCCTGTGCTACTTGTTGCTGGTTAGTATGTGCACTTGTGTGTGTGTGACGGGATCTCTCTGTCCCTATCCAGCTAATTATCTCTTTGCTAATTAGGGATTAGTCTCTGTGGCTCTTACTCGTGACTGCAGGAGTCTGACTTTCGGGTCCCGCCATTCTGAACAGAGGTCCTGTTCTATCTCTGCTGTTTCCAAAGCCCCTGATTAGGTGGGAATGCAGAACGGTGCCACTTAACCTGGCAGCTTTTGATCCCAGTGAAGCAGGCTGTGGCATTTTTCCTAATTTTTCTGTTTTTTGTGTTCTGATTCCTGATGTCAGATTGGCTCAGCGGAATGCAGAAAAAGAGGCTGGATTTGAAACAGTAATCAGATTTGAAATACCAGTCTTCTCCTGTAGCAGATACACAAATGCACCCACACACACAGACATGCCGACTCGACTCTGGCTTCAGACATTATGTAATCGCAGCATATATACATTTGAGTGCAGCTGAGTCATTGTTATCATATTTGAGTGGGTGTTCCTCTGATGTAGTTGTATGGAGTGGAGGAAGAGTTCAGTTTAGTAATGGACTGTGTTTCAGATTGAGCTGGGCTTTAAGTGACATCTTGTGGTCTACTGTAGGTACTGCAAAAATCATTTTGCACGTGTTTCTTGTTTGTGGTGCTTGTCACTAAACATAAAGTATTAAAGTTTGATGCATAACTTTTCCTGGATCTTAAGGAAGTGTCTTTGCTAAACCTCATGGAAATCAGGGGCAGTCACATGCACAGTAATTGAATGATTAATTCGATCTCCTGACAGCAGTGGATCTCCTTTAGCTCCTTGAGCTGTGTCTATCTTTAGTTTAAGACTCCTCTGCTCTAATGGATACTGAAACAGAGGCTGGGCTTTATTTAGAGCTCGTCTGATCTTACCCTCAGCAGGTGATGTAATGCCAATCTTTATTTGCAGGTTACAACTTGCAATGTATAAGAAGGAGGTTTGAGTTTAAAAGTTTGGGTTAGTTTAGGTCTAAATACAATTTAATGCTGTGTTTTGTGGAATTAAGTTATTTTGTATTTTCTGTACCATATAAACAATTAAATTGATTAAAATGTATAAAAAATTGTTTATATATATTGTTT